GAATCTTGGTTCCCTGAGCTTGGCTCCACTGGAACACATCCAACCTGTGCTAGATTCGGGGGCAGATTCCGAGGGAGGGCCGGTCCTGAGGAAGGGGAAGCCTCATGTGGCTTTTCAATAAACGAGTCCCTCATTCAGGACTCGCTTCCGAGGATGGGCAGCCGGGGTCTCTCGGGCAAGACGTGTGCCTTGATCCAGGGGGCACTGCAGTCGCCCTGATGGAGCTCTGGGCACCAGGGGCGACCAGAGAGAAAGCGTGAGGTCACCAGTCTCCATGCTTCGGCTGCGCTGCAGCACTCTGTGCTATTTATATAACTGCGAGTGTTAAGTAGGGCATGAATTTTCACCTCAGCCAGCATCTTTTCTGTTTCCAGTAGTTTGCTTCTCCCTGGAAGACTGATGCTGCACAATGGCGCTGGAATTGGCTACCAGCGGAGGAGGAGGGAGCCTCGCTTAGGGGTGCAACACGCAGGGTGCGAGCAGAAGCTCCCGGGCCCGATCCCCCATCACTGGGAAGGGGTGGGAAGGATTCTGCTGCGGCCCGAGGACCGTTGCAACACGTCTGTGCGGACAGTCCCTGGCCAGAGGGACCCGAGGCCTGAACCAACAGGGTGGCATCGCGTGTCCCTTTGCCGAGAGTGCAAAACTAGGGACCTTTTCAACAGGCTTCTCAGGTGGGGAACTTCAGAAGCTGCCCCAGATCCCCAGCTTGCTGCCCCCATGTGTCCAGCAGAGGAGGCAAAGGAGGCCGCTGCAGGCCGTGTGGGGATGCCACCGTGTGGGGTTCCAGCTTTGCTCTGCCCCCTTGATGCTCCCTGCCTATGCTTGCTTTTTTGGGAGAAGCGCCATTGAACCTGCAAGCACTGCTTGGGCCTTTGCCAGGCCTGTGATGTAGGACAGGGAGATCAAATGGCATCTGGCGCTCTTGCCCTGGCCGGAATGCTTTCCCACGCTCGCCCTGGCCAGGAAGCGAGCCGAGCCAAGATCACGCCTGCGAACACTCAGCAACGCCACAAGCTCCTTGTGCAAGGAAGCACATAATTCGTTGCACAAAACATGCCGGGCACGTAACTCCCGGTGCAAAGCACGCAAGGGTCACGAGGCACCTGAGTGGAAGCAGGAAGCTGCTTGCACTGGCTTTCAGACACCCGTGCAAAGACTCAGCGGACTTGGGGAAGAGGGACATGGCCGGAGTCCAGGAATTCTTGCTCCAAAGGGAAAGTCCAGCTTGCAGTCTGGGCTAAGGAAATCCATCAGACTCCCACTCCAAGCCGGATCCCCTTCCCTCCCTCTTGGGATGCCAGTGAGGTGTTCGGTGGCCTGTAAGGGCAACGGCAGCCTTCTTGGGGACCGTCCGAGGCCTTGCAGAGCTAGGGATGGGCAGAACCGGCCAGTTTCTCCTGCTCTCATTCCCACTTTTGAACTCTCCCATCCTTCCTTCTCTCCCTGAAGAAATGTGAATTTTCACAGATTCCGCAGCTGCAACTATTCCCGCCAGCCATGCTGCTGCTAACGATGAAGAGCCAAAAGGGGTGTCAACCCACGTTCAGGACCACAAACCTGGCTCAGTGACGGGGACGCAATCCCAGAACGAGTGGGGTGCTCCCAGCCTTCTCCTTGCCTGGATAAACCTCTCAGCTTCGCTTCTGCTCACCTTCGAAGTTTTAAAACCACAAGCGCTTTCCATCCCATGTCTGAGAAAGTTGCATGTGCAGTTGATCAGTGGACCAACGTGTTTCTTGCCTGTTCTCATGCAGAACGTTTTGCTCCAAGCACCGTCAGAGCCGAGCCAGACCCCTCCCTGCGCAACCCGATGTCCCACGGCTCCGGGCCCGACTGCGTACTGGACAGGGCTCCTCCAGAGCTTTGCTCCGCTGCCCACACTTTACGCAAAAGCCAACCTGAAGAGAACCGCACCTGTCTGAAGCAAAGGCATATCCGGAAACCAGACGGACTGTGCCTCCATCAGGGAATGAGATACGCAAGGGGCTCTGCATTGGGCTGAGGTCGTGGCAAACCCCGGGCTTACGGATGCCCCCCACTGGGGCTGGAGTGGGGCGGAAGTGCAGAGGAGACGGGCATCGCAGAAGCATCTCCAGCCCTTTCACAGCCAGTGGCAAACCGGGCCACGCCGTGGAGCCGGAGGGCCGGGACCAGTGAAGAAAAGCCTTTCTCGGGCACTGGAGACGACGCGACACACGCGTGGCCCACACGACGGGCCTGTCGAGAGGAGACGGCCGCTTCCGCCGCTCCTCCCTCCCTGCTGCTGACCAGACTTTCCTTGGTGCAAGATCACCTTATTATGGTGCTGGAGAAACCATTCCAAAGCAGCTGTGGCTTGCAGAGTTCTGTCCCTTCCTTCTCAGGTGCGGGACCAAGGGATGGCCTGCTTCCTCCCGTGGTGGGTGGAATGACTCCCGTGGCCAGGCTGGCAAGGTGCGAGAAACGTCTGTTTTGCAAACTGCATTAAAGCACACCCGATTCAAGCAGTCTGCAACAGACCTTCCCGGGAGATTGTGCTCTGGAAATGTAAGTCCTAACAGTTGTTGCTACTACAGAGATGGCACACATTTCCTAATCATGCCCCACTAGAATGGAATGTAGTATCTTATAGACTTGGTATTTTAAAAATTCAGGTTTTTAAAAAAGCAAGCTTCTAGCTGTCAGGAATGAGAAGGTAGTCTTGAAAGGTGGTCACAAGTCATTGTGAAATTTCTGAACGAGGGGGGGCTTACACAGACTTCCACGTGGGATGGGTCAGGATGTGGGACGGCACGTTTGCTAGGATCCCATGACTAGCAGACGATATGACCCGATGTGCCGTTTTGCATACTTGTGCACGACATGCACAAACCGATTCTTTATTCCCTCTAGTCCCCTCAACCCAGAGCAAACGGATTGTGGACCCTGGCTGGCTGTTTCTTTTTCTAGCATCACGTAGCTTGGCTCACTCACTTGAGCCACCTGCGAGGGGTGCTTTAATTTGGGAGTCCTGCATTTCAGGAAACTGGACCTGGTGGTCCTTATGACCCCTTCCAAATCTATTGTTGTATTACTTCATTCTGTGATAATTTCTACGAACAACAGCGGGATCCCAATTTGGGCAGTGGCAGTTGAGCAACACTTTAAACAAATAAAAGAAATACTGCAGAGATGGCCAGAAGTTTTCTCTTCACCTCAGGAAGGAGATCTGGAAGACTCAAGCGCCGGGAGGGGCATTCCTTCTGCACTGGCTGTTCTGGGGCGCATCCCAGCGGCTGGTTCTGTGCAGTGCAGCCTCAGGAACAGCTCTGACGCAAGAAATTTCAGCCCCCCTTTTCTGGGCTGCTCTGCACACGGCAGAGATGAGGGAAGTGAGCGCTTCCAGCAAGGGCCCCTCCGCACAGGTCAGCGCGGCTTCCGGCAGGATCCAGACCGGCTCTCGGCTCAGCACCCTCCTGCCACAAAGGAGCCTGCGCTACCGAAGAACCCGGGGCATCCATAAAAGCCGCTTGTGCTACTCGCAGGAGGCATCTTGACCGCCTAGGTAAGGCCGTGGCCTCCCCCTGAACCCCCATCGGACCCCGCTGGGGCAGCCACGAGCCCAGCATGGGGCAGAAAATGCCCCAATTCGCTTGCCCAGCAGCTCGCCTGAGACTGCGCCTCTGCGTCCATCTTGGCTCTCGCGATCTTTATTTGAACCGGAGACGCCGGACACTGGCCGGGGGCCTTCCAGGGCAACCCCGACCGACATCCTGCGGCTGAGCCAGGGAACCTGCGCGGAGTCCGTCCAGCCGGCCCAGGAAGGCCCCCTCTGCTCGGCAGCCGCTCCGCACAAGCGGGAGAAGTCCCTGCGCACCAGGGCCTCCAGCCTTTCGGGAGGGCTGGCGGGCTCATTGGGGGCTTGGAAAAAGGTGGCAGGCACGCCCCGAAAGTGGCTCCCTGGCGGCTGTGGCCCGTGACAGCGGGGGTGGCTGCTGAGCCGGCACTGAGCCACAGAGGCAGAGGGCAGCGGGGAGAAAGAGCAAGGCTGGGGGGGGGGGGAGGATCGCAAGCCAAAGGGGTAGACAGGGCAGGGAGAGCCAAAGGGGAGCGAAAGAGGGTTGTGCCAGCACTTTCTTCCAACATTATTTTTTGGCGAGCAGAGAAGGAAGAGGCTTCATGAGCACCGCGGGGAAGCTGGGGCCCCTGTGGCTCGAGGGCTTTAAGCAGCGAGCTGAGGGACCGGCCCGGGGGCCCCGGAGGGGGGGCTCTCGGCACAGAAAGGACTGCAGAACAGACTGTGGGTGGCCTTTTATTCCCTCCTTTCCTTTCCATCCCATCCTTTTTGGAAGACGTTGAAAACCTGTGTCCCGCCCCACAGGTGTACAGGTCTTGGGTGCACCCCCAGATCCAGAAGGGTTGGAAACCAAAGATGCCGCACACAAGAGACACCGGGTCTCCTCTGGAGCCGTGCGAAGCGAGGCGGCCGGTGCAGACCTGCCGACGGAGCCAGAGCGGCTTGCTTGCTGCAGGGAAGGGCCGCCGGCCACAGAGGATGCGAGGACGACGCTGCCGGGGAGACCCTCTGTGCTGGCTCCAGGCCCATCCCTGTCCTTGCCTGCCTGGCGTGGACTGGGGCCGCTCTGGCCTTGCATCCTGCTTCCCCGAACAGTCCCAAGCGGAGGCACGGCCTGTCCCCAGCGCCCCTTCTTCCCCTTCCAACAGCTGCTTGCGCGGGGGCTTCCGCACGCCGACGATCCCAGGCGGACTCGCTGCTCGTGCGTCCCTCTGATTCCCCTGCAGAATCGACTAAGCTACCAAGCGGTGCGCAAAAGCCCAAGGCAGGCCGGGTCCCCATCTCGCAGCCCTTCTGCGCCGGCCAAGCCCCGGGTTCCAGCCCGGCAACAGCCCTTCCAGCCGCGGTGGAGGCAGCCGGGGGAGGGACGCCCCCGGCCGCGCTGCTGCGAAGGCCCTCCAGCTGCCTGCATCCTGCCCTCTCAAGTCCGAAGAAGTCCGGCCGGCGGCGTGGGCAGGCCGGCCTGGCGCGGTGGGAGCTGCGGCAGGGGGGCCGGGGTCCCCGTCCCCTGCACGATCCCGGTGCCGGCACTACCTCCACAGCACCACCGTCTTGCATCGGTCCACGCTCCCGATGTACGTGCCGGAGGGGACCCAGGCCACTGCATTCACCGATGACCTGGGGGCAAGAAAGGGGTGCGTGGGTCGCACCAGGCCGCCGGGGGCCCCCCGGGACCCCTGCCTTGGAGCAGCTCCGGCCTCAGTGCCGGAAGTCCCGAAGGCCTGGGGGAGCCGGGGAGCAGCCGGGGACCGCCGAGGGTGCAAGGGGGGACAGTTCTCGGCTGGGCGGCCCGTGTGGTGCGAGCGGCCGGCACGGCACAGCACAAGGCGCATGGAAGGGCCCCTCTCGGACCATCCTCGGAGCTGCCGCCCTCGCGCCCTCCCCAGCCCGGCCAGGAACGTTGGGCACCGTCACCCAAACATGCAGGAGCCGCCCGGCTGGCGGGGTCGGCTTTCGCGCGTGCGATGGCCAAGCGAGCAGCAGCGAAGGCTCTCGGGGGCCCCGTGTGGCTGCGCTTCCATCACATGCCGTCTTTCTTACGCAACGGAGAAGCGGCCCGGTTAAAAATGCACAATGGAGCAGTGGGCGGGGGTGGGGGGCAGGAGTCCCATCCCGCGTGTCCCGCAGCCCCCCGAGCCCGGAAGCGGGGCCGAGTGGGGCTCACCGGTGCACGCCGGGCAGCCTGCCCTCGAGCTGGTCCGTCTTCACGTTCCAGAGGAAGAGGGTGCCGTCCGCGGACCCCGCCAGGGCGTAGCTCTTGTCCGGGCTGCCGGGGGAAAGCGGGAGAGATCAGCCGGCCTGCTACGGCCGGGCCACGTCCCCAGGGGAGGGAGGGGGCCGGCCGGCCCACCCACCCACCTGCCAGGCAAGCCAAGGGGCAGCCCAGTGCGGGAGGGCTGCCCACCTCACACCCGGCGCTCCACTGCTGCTCCCCCCCCCCCAGCAAAGCTTCCTCACCTTCCCTGCCCACCTGGCCTCTGCAGACCCCTGCCCCCCCCCCCCACGGGCAGTGCTGCCCCCCCCCCCCCCCCCCCCTCCGGGACTCGACCACCTTCCTTGGCTGCCCTTGCTGTCCCCGGCAGCACCCCCCCCCGGGGAACGTGGGTGCGGGGGGGGGGGGCTTTCGCTGCACGTGGGGGGCAGGCAGTGCTGCTCAGAGCCCGGGAGGATCTTGGTGGGGGCACCTGGACGAGGGGCCAGGGTGCAAAGGTCCGGGCCTGGGGGAGGAGGGGAAGCAGGGAAGCGGACGGCCCTGCGGGAGACGCGTCCTGCAGGCACGAGGCAGCCGGGGAAGGGGAGGCGAAGGTGGCAGGGAAGCCGGAAGGAGTCCTGCCCCGGCCCCGGCCCCACGAGGGCAGGCACAGGAAGGGGGGCTGTGCAGCCAGGCCGGAGGGGAGGGGAGCTGAAGGGGGGGAGGGGCGGCAACTGAGTGGGAGAGCAGGACAAAGCCCTCTTCCAAGGCAGCTGTCTGCAGCCTGGTCCCCTCCAGGGCTGGCTGGGGACCCCAGCCCAACGCATCTGGGCCCCCCAGGCTGGAGGAGAGGAGAGACTGGGAGCTACTGGCGGGAGGGAGGTGGGCAGCCAGGGCTCCGTTCCTCCGCGGTGCCCCCGCCGGCCTCCCGCCGGCACTCCACCGCCTGTGCTGCGGCCCCCACAGCTTGGGTACGCAGGCGCAGCATCAAAGGACGCTCAGGGCAGCGCTCGCAGAATTGCGTCCGTTTGCCCAGGCCTCTCGGACGTCTGCAAAGGCCACTCGGTCCGTCAGTCTGGCTGCCGGTTTCGTCGCAGAAACGCGGCCAGTAAAGAACGACAAGCCGACATGCGGGGAAAGCACATCGCGAAAGCCGAAGCCAGAATCGGCCGCCCACGCTTCGCAGGACACGAGGGCGATGGGGAGGCTGCAGGGGCTGGTCCCCCCCACGGGTGCGAGCCAAATTTATTCTACTTTGCTATTTGTGACTTTTCAACGCTGCCTCGCTCAGCCACACGTGACCAGAGCGCTCTGGGAGGGTCTGAACGCTGAAAACCATGAAGCACAACCTAAGATGCAATGTGAACATTGGCAACTACAGTATGAAATAGAAAGAAAAATCCAGATAAAATCTAGCTGCAGCGCAAAAACTTCAGAAGCAGGGACAGGTCTCAAACCACCAAAAATGAGGAGCTACTACGCGGCTGGGAAAGCAAAAGACCCTCACCTGTTGCCAGAAAGGACTGGGTGAGCCTTTCCGGGGTGCCCCTGGCCCAGCCGGGGGCCGACGAGAGAAGGGCAGCCAGCCACCGCACTGCCCCACGTGCCGCTGCTGAACAAGCCACCCACAACCTGTGGGCTGTTGCAGGGTTGTGGCGTGGTTTGTTAAGCCACCCTCGCTGGGGCCGTCCGGATGGCATGAGAAGTAGCAGAGGGGTGCAACCCGGCGCTTAAGCGAGGCATGTGGGGGAACAGCCCCTGCGCAAACAGGTCCGGGGACGACTGGGCAGAGGCCAGGCTGCAGCACTCGAGGCGTTCGCCTCCCCGGTTCCTCTGGCCTGCCGGAGACTCACCTGAACACAGCCTTGGTCCCGTCAGAGCCGCACTTGAATCCCTCGGCCCTGGGGAAAAAGGGGGTGACCGTGAGCCAAAAGCGCCCCTTGGCTGCTGCCCACAAGCAGGGAAACGTGCAGGGAAGGGCAGTAAAAACGATCCGGGGGGCTGGAAGGCCGCTCCAACTGAGACTGTTCAGCGCAGCAAAAAGGTGGGACATGACGGAGGTGCTTAAACAGTGCAAGGTGCAGGTCAGCGGAGAGGGAGGGAGACGTGTTCTCCCTCCCCCATAACACGTGAATCGGGGTCATCCTGGGGAGATGCCTGGGGGGAGGTTTAGGGCCGATCAAAGGAACCAGTTCTTCACACAGGGTACAGTGAAAAGAAGAATCAAAAGCAAGCAGGGACAAAATGTCTGGCTGAGTTAATTGGTCTTATTCTTCCGAAAGGTTTGCTTCACTGAGTGCCCTACTTGGAGAGGAAAAAGTCCCACAACACACCAGCTTTCTGGGAGCCTGGAAGCGATAAGATATTCCTCTGCCAGAGCATGCAGTTCTTCACACAGCACATCGTTAATTGTGGAATTTGCTGCCACGGGAGGTGGCGATGGCTGCCGATCTGTGTGGCCTTCGAGGGGGATTGGGCAGGAGGCGGCTACGGGTGGCTACTAGCCTGGCTGGCCATGTGCCCCCTCCTTCCCCAGAGGGGGCCTGCCTGCACACACCGGTTGCTGAGGAGCTGGGCGGGGGGAGGCCTTGCCCCCGTCCTGCTGGGGGATCCCGGGAGCAGCTGGTCGGCCGCTGTGTGTGGACCTGGCGTTCAGTGCAGCGGGGCTCTTCTTGTGCCCTAAGGCTTGGTGGCGAAGCGTTGAGACCGAGCGCCCAAACTGCGACCCAACACCCGCTTATTTATCGCAAAGTGTCAACCTTGCAATAGGTTTTAGTTTAAAAAAAACACCTCCCAGCCAGTCCAAGACAATATATAAATGTCCTTGGCCGTGCACTGACCGGCCACGCGAAAGCTCGGACGAGTCTCGGCTAATGTGCCGCAGCTCGTGAGGTCATCGCCTGGGCGGCTACCCCTTTCCGAGCGTGCGCACGGCCCCTCTGTGCACTGTTCAACGATGCTCGGCTGCTGGGGCGAAGCTGGGGCGCGCCGGCAGAGAGGGCTCTGTGTGCCCGCTGGGGCACGCGTGCCGTGGGTCCGCCACGCCTGCTCTAGGGTCTAAGTGGCCGCCCACGTCCCGCCCTCTGGGGGCGCTGCGGGAACTCACCGGAACACCTGCTGGATGCTCTGCATGCGCAGGTCGATGACCTTGAGCGCGTTGTCCCGGGAGCAGCTCAGGAGGTGCATCTGGTCCTGGCTGAGGCTCAGCGAGGTGACCTTGCCGTCCACCGGGATCACCTGCGTGCAGAGCGGGGCCCTGGAAGGAGGAGGCGGGCGGCTGCGCTGAGGGCGGGTCACGACCGCAGCGCCAAGGGGGAGGCGGGCCGAGCCCCCTGGGGCAAAGCGGGCCTGGCCTGGCCTGGCAGCCGCGCCTGACGGGAGCGTTTCGGATGCGTGGCGCCAACGGGACGTGTGCGGCCTCTCCGGCGTTCCGAGCAGTGGCTGGGGTGCTCAGGGGCGGCAGGAAGCAGGAAAGGGGGAGACGGCGCGTACTCCAGGAACTCGGGGACAAGCCCCGCAGCCCCCCGTTAGGGAAAGCAGCTGCAGTGGGAAAGTGCCTCCAATGCTGAATTCCTCGTGGGGGGAGAGATTTCTGTGGGTGCTGCAGCATGTGGGAAAGGGGGAGCTCATCCTTCCCGTGGGGGCCGCAACCCCCCCTTGAAAGCTGCCCCCTGCAGGGCGTTCCGCTGGGGGAAAGCCCTTCTGTGGGAACCAGCAGAGCCCCTGGAACAGCGCTGGGCACCGGGGAAGAGTCGGGCCAGGCTCCCAGCCTTCCTCCTCACGGAAGTGCAAGGCGGGGGAATAAAACTGGGCAGAGAACCGGGACGCCGGGAAGGCAGGGGCACTGGCGACAGGAGCGCCCACAGGCAAGTGCCGGGGCACGGAGGCGTGGGGCAGGCGGTGCGGGATCCCCGCCTGAGGCGGCTGCGGGGGGCTCCGACCGGCGAGTGGGGGGGGCCTGCTTGGAAGCAAGCCTCAACGGGGTCACTCCGGGCCAGTGCCCGGGGCAAAATCCCCCAGCGAAGCCGCGGCGCTGGCGCACACTGTGCCGCTCACGCTCGCCCCACAGAGCGGGGTGCAGTGGGGCGGGCGGCCCGGGCTCCACAAGCAGCCCCTGCTCGGCCAGGGAGTCAGGGGGGGCCCTGGGCCGGGCACAGGCGCTCGGCCCGGCCTACCTCACCGGGCTGTGGCTGTGGGGCAAGTCCGAGAAGCGATCCCAGCACGGGCGGACCTGCACGCTCACCTGCTGTCCCAGAAGCGGATCGTCTTGTCGTGGTGCCCGCTGACCAGGACGGAGTCGCAGCAGACGAGGTCGTTGCAGTAGGAGAAAACCTGGATGGTCCTGGAGCCTGCCGGAGGCGCAGAGGGGCAGGTGTCGGGCGGGAGACGTGGCCACGGGCATCTTCCCCGGGTCACCAGGGGCCTCCGGCAGCGCCCACGGAGCACCCCTCTCCCCGCCCCCTTCCCAGAAGCACGGGGCCCCGCGGCGGCACTCACACGCCCCCTGGCCCAGGTCCCACTCCCGGACGGTCCGGTCGCGGCTGCCCGTCACCGCCTGCCACTGGGTGGACCGGAACCTGGCCGCCGTCACTTTGTCCGTGTGCCCCGTGAGGACCTCCTGCGGAGGAGACGAGCGGGAGGCGTGGGGGCCGGCTGCTTCCTCGCCCTCCTCCGCCAAGCCACCCCCGGGCAGGGCAAGCCCAGCCCAGCCCAGCCCCTGCCCGCCCCCCCCCCGCTGCACTGCCAGCCCCCCGGGGGCGCCCGGCCGCGCTCACCTTGCACTGGCAGTCCCCGAGCGTCCAGAGCTGCGCGGCGTTGTTGTGTGTGGCGGCCAAGACGTACGCCCCCTGGCGGGAGAGAGGGCGGGGGAGCGATGAGCAGTGCCCGGGGCTCCCGGCTGCCTCCGCTCTGCTCTGCGGGGCGCAGAGTGCTGGGAAGGGCGGCCGCCGGGGTCCCACGCGGGGGGGGGGGGCGCGAGCTGTGGGCAGCGGGCGAAGGGCCCAGTCGAGCAGGTGGGCGGCCGGCCGGGGCGCAGCTGAGGGTCTGGCTGAGCCGGGCACCCGGCAAGTGGTACCAAGGCAGGCGGCGGGGGGCGGCGGAGTGGGCCCTCCCGCCAGACCTACGGGGAGGGTGCCCCCACAGAGGCATCTCGCCCCACAGCTCCCACCGCCTGCTGCCATTCCAGCCCGCTGCACGGCAGATGAGACAAGACACGGGGCCATTCCACAGCCCTGCCTTGCTCTTCAGCCCTCCTCATCCCTTCGTCCTTGTATGCTGTGCCTTTCCAGATGACCTTCTGGTACTGATGGCAGGTAAGCCACGCCGGGAGCCTTTTTAATGGGGTGATATCAAAAGGTGCTTCCAGTGGGTGGGTGGAGCGTGCCCTCTCGCCTTCCACCGCACGAGGCCCGAGCGAGGCTGCTGCCCCCGCCAGCATCCCACTCCTGCGCCCACTCGACCCTCCCCATCGCAGGAAAGCTCGGCACAGCGGCCCTGCAGCGCTCTCCCCGCAGGAGGGGCCGGGGTCAAGCGCAGCCTCCACAGGCAGGGCTGGAACCGGAGCTCCGGCCGGGAACCCCGGAGGGCCATGGCTGCCAGGCCAGGGCGGCGCAGAGCTTAAGCACCTAAGAGCGTAAGAAAAGCGTCCCGTGGAGCCTGGCAAGTGCCAGTTGCAAGGAGAGGAGGAGACTAGGAAAGGGAGGAGGTGAGCAAGTGGGGAGAGGGGAGGACGGGGTGCCCGGTGAGCCCACAGATCCAGTCCAGCCAGCAGCCTCCCGCAACCCAGGCTGTTCCGGGCACCAGGGGATTCCGAGTTCCTCCTGAGAGGCCAAGCGGGGCAGGGGGCAGGGCGGCCAGGCCAGGGGCGATGCCGGGTCCCCCCCCTCCGGCACGGGGCCCTCGAGCAACTCACAGGAAGACCCTCCTCTTTGTGACCGAGCTCATCACACGGAGGCAGCCTTGGGCTCACTCCTGTGTTGCTTTCTGGGTGCTTTTGTGGGATCGGCCCCTGAAGGAGCTCCGAGAGCTCACTGGCCCGTCCTCTGCGGGCAGCTACAGGGGGCTTGCAGCCCCTCCATGCTCCCAAACCCTTTCCGTTCCCCACTTCCCTGCGGAAGGGAAAACCCATCTGTGTTTGGGAAATCTTTATGCTCAGAGAGCGTGCTGGCTTGAAAAGCGCTTCGCCGCACACCTGGGCGCCAGGGCTTCTGGCGTCCATCGCCCGGAAACGCTCCGTCCAAGGGGCACAGTCCAGTCACCCAGTCAAAACTCTGGATGCTGCCGGCTTCTGGCGGGACGTTTAGGCGGGTCCTGCAGGACCTCCAGCGTGGGAAGCGTCCTTCCCTGACCCACCACCGGCTCTTTGAATGACTCACTGCCGAGGGGAGACCCGGGAACGTTCATTCGGCTTTCTAAGTTTTGTTCCACTTAAATGAGGACAAGTTGCCCTGCGCACGTGTGTATAATTAACTGTGGACATTTTGTACTGTGTGTGCGTGTGCGCTTTAATTAAGCGAGGACATGTGGTATATTGTTAAATCTGTTAAGTGCGAACATTTTGTACTTGACGCTCCTCTGCTGCAGGCAACCCCAGGGCATCGCACGGAGCGCTTGCCAGGCGGCCTAGAAGTGGATGCTGGAGAAACGCTGCTCTCCACGTCCCACGTTCTCAGACGCCTCCCGGCCTTCCATGGCTGTCCAGACACCTTTCCCGCCCGGGATTTGCTCTGAGCCAGCGCTTCAAGGGGCAGAGCGCCCGGAGCTGTCCTTGGAAACTGGTCCTGCAGAGCGGTGCATTCCATGGCACCCCCAGCGAAGGGTGGGCTGGGCTCTTTGCCCTCAGACCGGACAGTCCCTGGCCGGCTGGACCTGTGCTCTGCACAGCAGGAGTGGGCAGGGCACACGTTCCACATTCCCCCCCCGCTGCCCACCCTGGCCCGGGGAAGGCCCTGAGGAGGGGATGCAGCGCCCAGGCCGGCCAGATCGGCCCTCCCCGCCCCGCCCCGCCCCAGGCACCGGCGGCTCCCGCCCAGGCTGCTCTCAGCCGCACTCACCAAGGGGTCGAACTCGATGCTGGTGATGCTGCCGTTGGCCCCCTGCAGCACCTGCGTCTTCTCCAGGCGCCCTGGAGGGAGAGGGCAGGACGGCCGGGCTGAGGGTGGGCCAAAGCGCCCGGCTCCTCCCCGAGGAAGCGACGCGGCTGCGGGCACAGGCGGGGCCCTGCGGAGGCCACCCCAGCACCATCCCAAGAGCCACCGCGGAAGCACTGCGGAAAATGCTTGCTGACAACCCTGCTGAAGATCCAAGGCGTCAAACAATGCAAGCAGCGGGGCCTCCGGGCACGAGGGCCGCCTTCACCGCGGCCACCCGGCTCCCCCCGCGGGAGCAGCGGGGCCTCCGGGCACGAGGGCCGCCTTCACCGCGGCCACCCGGCTCCCCCCGCGGGAGCAGCGGGGCCTCCGGGCACGAGGGCCGCCTTCACTGCGGACCAGGAGCTTGGGGTTTGTCTCTCCTCCCAGAAGCCGGAGTCACACGTCACGGTTTGTCCTTGGCTCGCATCTCCAGCCGGTTGCTCAGAGAGAGAAGCCCACGTTCCCAGTTTGCCCAGCATGGGCAGCAAACCACAGATGGAAAGCAGGGGGCTTCCGGACCCTCCTGCCTGCCGGCCACAAGAGCAGCTGGGCAGCGTGTTCCAGCTTTATGCGCTACAGCGATTTCCAGAGACTTTTATCATCTGTATTATACACAACACTTCTGTTTGTATTTTGCTGCCTTAAACCATCCTCAGAGCTTCAGCAAAACGAGAAATGAAATAATTAATTGGGGCAGGAGCCCCAGTTGATCATTCTGTGCAAACTTTCCCGTTCTTGGGGAACAGTGGAAACGCACGAACACATCACTTCTGCGCGATACTAGAGCAAACGCTGCCCTCAGATTTACACGCACAGGGTCTGCCTGCCTGCCTTTTCCACCTTTGGTCTAACGCTCCTGCCCAGGGCACGGTTCAGAAAAACAGGCCGCCCTTCTGCTGGCGGAGTTAAGTGGGCTTCGTCCCAAAGACGCCTTAAGCCAAGCTGGGTTTATTTATTCATTCATGTTAGAGAATTTATATTCCACACGTTCCGAAAAACCATTTCCAAGGCACCGTATAAGGACACTCAGAGAAGCCGTCCTGGCCAAGGTACTTTGCGCTTCTATTTATGACAACACTCAGACCTTTATTCTTTTCCTTGCGATGAAGGAATGTTTGGAAAGAGCCATACAGCACAGAAACAGAGCGAGGTGGAAGGGGTCTCCCGGGCCATCTAGTCTGACCCCCGGCTCCAGCTGGCTCCACTCACGACATGCCCACCCTGTGCATGTCCAGCCTATCCTTGAACACCCGCACCGACGGGGCCTCAACGACCTCCTGTGGAAGCCCACTCCATACCCTCAGGGTCTGAACTGTCAGGAAGTGCTTCCTGGCATCCAAACTGAACCTGGGTTCCCTGAGCTTGGCTTTGTTGGGGCGCATCCTGCCTTCCTCTGCAGGGGAGAACCAGGTCTCTACCCACCTCCATGTGACACCCCCTCACATACCTGCATGTCGCCAACAGATCCCCTCTGAGTCTCCTCTTCTCCAGGCTGAAGAGACCCAGTTCCTTCAGTCTCGCCTCATACGGCATCCCCTGCAAACCAGCCACCGACCTTGTGGCCCTTCGCTGCACTGACTCCAACCTGACTATATCCCTTCTGTAATGAGGGGCCCAAAACTGAGCACAACACTCCAGTTGCGGGCGCACCAGAGCCGTATAGCGTGGCAGTAACACCTCTCTCGATCTAGAAGCCACACTTCCGGCTATGCAACCAAGGGTGGTGCTCGCCCTCTTGGCCACCGCATCACACGGCTGGCTCATGTTCAGCCTGCAGTCAACCAGCAGCCCGAGGTCCCTTTCACAAGTGCTGCTCTCCAGCCACTTGTCCCCTAACCTGTACTTATGACACCCATTCCTACGCCCCAAGTGCAAGACCTTGCACTTATCCACATTGAACGCCATCCTGTTGCCTCCTGCCCACTTCCATAACCTGTCCAGATCCTTTTGGATCTGGAGTACCTGCTCCTCAGTTGTGGCCACTGCTCCAGTTTTAGTGTCGTCTGCCAATTTGATCAGCAGATGGTTCACCCTACTTCCATGTCATTTATGAAAAGATTAAACAGCATCGGCCCCAGGACAGAGCCCTGGGGGACCCCACTTGTCCCTGGCCGCCATCCCGATGATTCCCCACTAATGGTTACCCTCTGTTTTCGGTCAGTCAACCATGCCCTAATCCACCGGACGGTGCTTTGGTGTATCCCAAAGCTCCTCAGTTTCTCCACCAGGATATCATGGGGCACTCGGCCAAAGGCCTTGCACTGCTTACACCGACAGCACTGAGATTCTCCAGAAAACCTGCCCTGCCAGCAGGCGCTGCCGGCGTTGCGCCAGAGCTCCGTCCCACGCAGCATCATTTACAGGAGTGCTTGAGTCGCCTGAGATGCTGCCTTTAACACCTGCACAAATCGTGAAGCCAAACACCCCGGAACACTCGCTAGCTGACCTCTTTCAGAATCTAAGCCGGGACAACACTCTGCAGCTGTGGTATCACGTCTTTTAGATCAAGGATCTCAAAGAGCAGAGGCTGGTCGGGAAGGAATGCCCACAGCCAGGGCCCCAGTGCTGCAACTCCAGCGGGAGGGCATCGTCTGGGGGTGCTGGGGCAGGGGCCACCCCTCCCAGCCGGGGGCTGCCGACCCTCCGGCCGCCTTGGCTCGCTCCAGCCCCGTGTCTGCACCTGGCTGCCGGGGGAGGGGGAGGCGGGGAGGCGACTGGCCTTCGCTCACCTCCAGCCACATTCCAGAGCCTGATCAGCCGGTCTACTCCTCCGGTGGCCAGCAGGCTGGAATTGGGGCTGAACTTGACGGCGTTGACCTCCGAGGCATGGGCTTCCTGGGGGGAAGGTCAAAGGGGGGGTGTCAGGACCCAGATCCAGGCTGGACATCAGGAGGAGCTTCCTCACCGTCAGAGCAAGAGGGCAGTGGGACCAGCCGCCTGGGGAGGTGCTGGGCTCTCCCACACTGGAGGCATTCATGGCGAAACTGGGCAGCCACCTGAGTGGGATGGTGTGACTTGCTCTCCTGCAACAGCAGGGGGTGGACTAGATGGCCTTCCTGGCCCCTTCAAGGCCCGCAGGATCCTCCAGTTCCTTAAAGGCCTCCACAATTATTCTGTAAGTGTTATGAAGCACCTCTATTTGCATTCTATTTAAATGTGCTTTGGGTTTCCTGCATCCCACCGTGGAGTCGCTTGGAATTGAGAGAGATTTAGCCACATCTTAAATACCTAACACTGAGCCTGGCTCTGGGTCCCACACATTTAGAGCGGGAGAAACAATCGGTGTGGTTCAGAGAAGGGCAGCGAGCAAAGTCCGCGGTCTGAAAATCACATTCCACAAGGAAAGGCTGAAGCAACTTTCCAGGGCTGGCCGGGAGAAAAGAGGGCCTAGGAGAAACTCAGCTGCACACTTCAACTTCCGGAAAACTGCCCGAGAGCAGAGGGCAAGGCCTCGTTCTCTGCAGGACGAGATCGATTTGGCTCCCCAGCACAAAGCGGCACGAGAAGCTCGTCAGCGGCAAGGGAAGGGTGAGAGGAGAGAGGCTCGCTCGCTGGACGTCTAGGGAAGAGCCTGGACTGCCATCTGCTGGGAATCCTCCAGCTCCGGGCTTCCTGCGTCGAGCAAGGTGCTGGGTGACACGGCCGGGCCAGCGCCTCCCAGCTCCCTGGGCCTGGAAGGCTTCCTGCCTCAGCACTCGGCAGCGGGGAGCATGGCCCGAGCGCTTGTGCTCCTCCGGCAGCAGCACGGAAGGAGGGGGAGTCTGTCTCCTTTCTCCAGTTACGCAAACGTGTCCTGCTCACCATCCCAAAGGGCAGCGCGAGGGGGAGCAGGGCTTTTTCACAAAAAGTTCCCAAATTCCCAAATCTGCAAATCTTCACATTCCAAAAAAATAAAAATAAAAATTGATTCAGACGTATTTTCATTTTTTAGTCAATGGGTGGAAGCGTGGCTTTTTGAAAAAGATTCCTGGGAATGTGTACCTTTCCTGTTGGTCAGAAACAGGTCAAAAGCAGGAATGAACCAAAAGGAGCTTCTAAGTGATTTTTAGAGAATTCAAGCAGCTGGAAATCAGCCGTCCTTCCACTCTAATGCAGCTGAGGCGGCCACAGATCTTCAGGCGTCTTAAAAACTGACAAATTTGCATAATACAGCTGGGCCTCGCCTTCCAACACTCTAAAAAGTGGCGGCCAGCGGCAGGGGAATGTCGAAGTTTAGCCGCTGCTAATTCAGTGGGAGAGGCGAGGTTCGCAGATGAACTGCCTTCCAACCCAAGCACCTAAATCTGGAATATGACACCGTGAGATTCCTGGGTGCATCTCCAAGAGAGAGCCGAGGCAGAGGCAGCAAAAGTGACCGGAAGCCCCTACGATTTACCTGCATGTCGCTCACGCTGGACGGGAGGCAGGACACCACAGAGTAAGGAATGCTGTAGCACCGATCCGTCGAAATGCTGCTCACGGAGTTCCCACGTTTCAGCCTGGAAATAAGTGCAGGGAGTGAATGCTCCGGAGTGTGCGCTTCGTCCAGCTGGGAAGCAAAAGGGCTGGCCGCTGAAGCGCCTCCCGTGCGCCGCCCCTCCCTTCCTCCTGATGCTTCACAGGTAGGCTGCCAGAGCGTCCAAATCAGGCGAGTGACGGCTTTGGCGAGCCACAGCTTCCCCGAACCAGCCCTGGAGTTCCAGGCGGGAGGCAGCTACAGCTTCCCAAGAGCACACCTGGCTATCACGCCAACACTGCTAAAATGACCGTAAATTGGGAAGCGACTTGGCCTCAGACCCCCTGGGCTGGAACAGCGAATGCCATTAAGAGTCCACATTCCAGCATGGGTGAAAGTACCTGTAACTGGAGCCAGAGGCTGTTCCAGAAAAAAGAAAGCAGACCAGTTTTTAAATTTCTAAAGTCCTGAACTGGCCTTCTGTTGCTTTTCATTTCAGCAACCTCAGGAATAAATCCATAAAAAGAGACTGGTAATATTTTTCGTCATGAAGACGAGTTTCTGAACTGCACAGTCCTGATGCTTACTTCTGTTGAATCAGGCACAGTTGATCCAATACAAGGCTATTGTAGAAATGGATCCGGACTTTACCTCAACCTTTGGTAGCGATTCCTACATCCCAGACCCAACAGCACCACTGACATACCAAGCGAGCAACCGACTTACTCAAACAAACCCTTGAAGACATCCACGTATCTGGTGAGGGTCATGGAGGTGGCGGAAGCGGATCTAAACAAGAAGCCAAACGGAAAGCAGATGAGAGCAGCACGGGGAATGGAAAGGTCGGCCAGGGGTGCAATGCGGGGGGGTGGAATGTGGTCGGGCCCCCACTGGGATTGGGAGGGTCCGAGGCAGCTCTGACCCATGGGACTCGGATTTCTTTTCCTTGTCAAGCTAGCAGCCTAAAGCCACAATCCTATGCAATTTAAGAGCGAGAGAAGGCCTACAGCAGCTGGGAGCTGCAAGCTGGGAGCTTTTTCTGTCTTAAGTTGCGCAGGATCATGCCCTGAAGGAGCTTCTCAGCCACTTACCTAAATGGTCTCCTCACCAGCTTCTCTCCATTCTCGTCAGGAACATTCTGGCTGGCCCGCTTCTGCTTATCCACCTTCCCTTCTTTCGGTTCTCTGCTTGGAGAAAACATGCCATGAACCAGTAAGGCAGAAGGGGGTCTTAAAACATCCCCAAGAAAATACGTTTTTTATGTGAAAGATCAGTTCGATGGCCGTTCTCCTTTTATTTCATGCTTTTAGTCATGTCTAATAAACTGCTTTATTGTTACGGTACCGACAGTTTGGTGTAAAGGGCATGGCCTCTTCCCTGATGTCTTATTTCTCGTCGGTTTCAGCTGGTTACAAGCGGCTCTGTCCGCCTGAACATTCGCTGAGCAACTGATCTGTCGCTGAAAAGCCCGGCATTGCCAGCGACTGGTTTTTCTGATCACACTTCTGCACGGGGGGCACAGATCCTGCAGCAAAGCCGCTCAGCTTGCGGGCACGTCCTCAGGTGGCAGAAGGATTGCAGAGCACCTGGGCGAGGCCGGCCCAGAGCACTGGCCAGAGGGCTGACTCTCGGCCCAACCTGCCTCTCAGGTGGGCGCAAAAGTGAGAGCACTTAATAAAAGGAGGACGAGACGCTGACGCAGCGCATGAACGGGCGACGCAGCCAGAGGGCCCCCGAAGGGCAACTGTGCAATGACGGCGGGGCAGCGCCAGGGGGGGAGGCATGACTGGGCACCCGGCAAGGGTCCGCGGCAAGCAGGGCCCGTGGGGAAGACCCTCCGCGCTTGCTCCTCCTCTTCCCCACAACCTGCCGCTTCGCCTCTCTCTGGCCCGGAGAACGCTGGCGACAAGCAGCCGGAGGAACCGCCCCGCTGCCGCCCCCCCCCCCAGGGTCTCTGGCCGCCGAGGAAGCTCGTGGGATCAACGCCCCAGAGGACAGGCGAGACGGCCGGCTGGCCAAGGGACACTCGGGATGATTTGCTCGGCACCTGAGCCTGGCGCTGGCGATGGGAGCAATTCCGGGCAGAGGAGCCCAGCAGAGTAAACCCGCCCAGATAAAAACAAGGGAACAACTCCAGGAATGAAGGCCAAAAGGAAAAGCTGTGGGTACATAGTGAGTGCGGCTTGTTGCGATTCAGAAATAACAGGCAACCATCACAATGAGCAAAGCTGTTCACAGTGGCCTCCTTAGATGAATTGTGCCTGCGTGTTTTGAAATAGTTTTGAGCCAAGAACTGGGTCAGGACATTCAGGAAGCCGCTGGGCTGCAAAGCTCAGATCCACCCATTATTCCTGGAGGTAGGAACCAGGTCGGTTTCTATCCAGACTGGCAAAGGCTGGATTCCTCGACCGCCCCAGTCACCTGGGGAGCCACTGCAAATCCGTTTCGTTCCGAGGCAGGCGGTGGCCATCGGAGGTTTCGGGATTTGGGGTCTTTGCCGCAGGGGTGGCCAAGGCTCCGTCCTGAGCAGATGCGGCAGAACTTCCAACGTGTCGGCCGCTGCTCTGCTCCCCCCCGGAGGGCCTCGGTGAGTGCCGAGGCCACGGCGATCAAGGCCCCAATTAACTCGGGTGCTTTCGCAGCCCCCTCTGCCCAGCCGGACTCCCCGGGAACGGGGCTCGCACGCAAACCTCCCAGTGGCACCCCAGGGACTCGCTTCAGGCTGGCCGTGGCCTGCTCCCCACCCCCCAGAGGGAAGGCCAAGGGGTGCCAGCACAGGGAGGGCTCGCCCCACGCCTCCCAACCCTTCCAGGCCAGGGGACTCACGCCTGAATGCTGAGCACCGTCCTGGTCGCCTTCTTCAGCTCCTTGGCCAGCCTGGCTTGCCTTGCCCTGCGAGGAGAGAGACCGGTGGGTGAGCGTGGGAGGGAGCTCCCTCCAGCCCTCCTGCTACAGCCCTGCCTTGGGAAGGGGCTGTACCTCATGCTGAGCATGCCGAAGGGCCCGGCTCATCCCCTGGCGTCCCCCTGCCGTTCCCTCCAGCCCTGGAGAGACACGCGCATGGACGGGGGGGGGGGGCGCACATGATGCCTGCACACTGCGATGGGGGCAGACCCGTGCCCGGCCAGGATAGCCCTCGATTGTTTACACACGTGGAATTCTGGGGGCCCTCCGGGAGCAGCACCGGGTCTCTGGGCCTCCTGCGCCTGTATTCGCCCTGCAAGTCTTTGGGCTGCAGGTGGGCCCAGAGGAGCCCAAGCGCGTGGGTGAGGCTGGCAGGAAGGAAGGCAGGGGAAGCCCCTCGCCCCGGCCGGGGGTGCCAAGCTGGGGGAATCGGCAGGGAACCTGGCCGTGGGGTGCAGAAGCCTGGCTGGCCTTGGAGAAGGAGGCTGCCCACCCACACGCGGTGGACTGGGGGCTCGGCGCAGCCTCTCTGGCGCCCCTGCGCAGCCCCCCCCCCATTCCCAGGCGCGCCTGGCAGGCCCCCACCTTTCGATCCGCCGGTTCTCGCGCTCGGCCACAGCCGTCTTCTGCTGCATGAGCTGCCTCAGCAGCTCCACGCCCCTCTCGGACGCCCGGCGGAGCTCCCCGTCCCGCTGGCAGAAGCGCCCGTGCAGCGCCTCATACGCTCCCTTCAGGGCGCCGTTCCTCCGGCTGCGCTCCTCCGCCTGCCCACGCAGCCCGCGGCGCTGGGCCTCCAGGTCCGAGAGCTGCCCGCCCAGTGCGGCCAACCTGCGGGGGCGAGCGAGGGGTGGCTCTCCCGCCTGCGGGCAGGATGCCCCCCTGGTGGTCCCGGCACTGCAGGGATTTGGGATGGGCGCTGGGGCTGCCGGAGCCCCGGGCAAAAGGACCGTGCCCGCCTGCCGCGGCAGAGGGAGGATGGTGGGACGGGCAGCAGGCACCCCGGGCCAGACCAGGCCAACAGAAAACAGCCGCAGGCCTCATCCTGCCCACCCCCCTGAGGATCCCCCCTTTCCCCAGAAACCCTGCAGAGGCGGCCACAGGCCCGGCAGGTGAAGTCGCACCCGAGAATGGCCCGCTCGGCTGCAGCCGCGTTCCTCTTCCACGCAGGGGTGGGGAAGCTCGGGGGCCCCGGGCACAGCTGCCCCGTGACCGCTGGGGCCTGCGTGAAGCCACTTCCGGGATTCCCCCTTCCCCGGAAAAGAGGCCCCTTGGGAAGGCTGGGCGAAGGCGACGGGCAGGGGGCTTCACCTGCTCCTCTGCTCCTCCAGCGCAGCATCCTTGGCTCTCAGCAGCACGTGCCACTCGCAGACGCGGATGGCCAGCTGCAAACGAGAGAGAGAGAGGGAGGGAGCGGTTCCCGGTCATTTAATGCACCAGCTTCTCTCGCAAAGAGGCCTGCGGCAGGCGAACCATAGCTCTGGGAAGAATGGAAAAGCGTTCTGCTTTTTTATTCCGAAGCAAAAGCAAGTCCCTGAAATCGTAGGGGTTGGGCCCGTTCTTCACACAGAAGAGCCTTCAAGGGATGCAGGAAGAGGTTCCACCCGGACGAGGAGGAAAGGTGGGACTCTGACGCTGACACGCCAGAGCCAGGGAGCAGCCAGGCGGCTGCGGGGGCCAAGGCTCCACGGGAACATTTGGGGAGCGGCTGGCTGGCAGGGGGGCAGGCCAGGTGTGGGCAAGCAGGGCCCATGGCAGGACACTGCTCTGGGCAGCGCCCCCATTCAGGGTCCCAGCCGCCAGCCCCCTGCCTTTGCCTCTCCCAAGCGCACACGCACACCCGGGCCAGCTTTCTGTGCTCACTACTCTGCTTGCAGTATTTCTCCCAAATCGTCTTTTAATTTTAATTCACTTCAATTCAGTTAAAACATTTCTACGCCCTCCTTTGCACCAAGCCTCAGGACGGCTTCCAGAAGACGTTTGCTTCCGCGACGTGGGCTTCCCCAAACCGGTGGATGCGCCTTCCCCTTGCGCCGCAAAGGTGCCCACGCTGCACCACACGGACCGGCTCTCGGGGAACGGGCTTGCTGCCCGAGGGTGCGCAGGGGCGGGCACACGCGCACCGGGGCGGCCGTGCCATCAGGCCGAACGCAGCGCCCGCTTCTGCCAGGAGATGGTGCAGGGGCATCATGCCCGCTTCTGCCCTCGGCGGGAGGACCGAGCAGCGGCCCCTGGGCAACCGGGCCGGAGCCCAAAGCAGGCCTGCTGCCCCTGGGGGGGGGGGGGGGGGGGCCTGTCCCGTTGACAGCGGCCTGGGGAGATCCCGGCCAACCCAGGCGACGTCCGCGCCGTACCCTGAGCAACGGCCGGGCGCCCTCGTGTCCTTCCGCTCACCAGCACGGTGCCCCCAGCCGGCCCTGCCGCTCACGCTCTCCGCCCCCACCCCCCCCGCACACGTCCTTAGAAGACAGCGAGTCAGAAGGGGCCTCCAGGGCCATCCAGTCTGACCCCCGGCACCAGCCCCCTCCAACCCGGGGTGCTCCAGAGACACTGGGCGCTGACTCCGGCAACGACGCGTGGCAACCGACCCCAGGAGCTGCAGGGAGAACCATTTCTGCCTGGCTTTCCCTGCGTCTCCTGCCAAGCAATTTTGCTGGATGAGGCCACTTTCCAGCACCAGCAGAAACGGCGGAGCAGCTCCGAGGGCTTCCCCCACGGCTGGATAAGCGTCTTGCCCGTCCTCTGCCGCCGGCACCTGCCTTCCTCCAAACTGAAAAGCCCCAGACATTTCTGGGGGGGCTCCAAGATCTGAAATACTTGCAGCTGCTGCTTTCTGTCCCGACTGGTTGCCTGAAAACACAAGACCCGGGGGGGGGGGGGCTCCCTAAGCACACTTAGACAGAAAAGAGCCACACAGCCCCCCGGATCGCCCAGCCCGCACGCTGGGCCCCGGCCCCCACCAGACCCCCAGGACTGCCGCTTTGCCTTTCACCTCGTTGATGATCTCCGGCTGCAGTGTGTGGTCTCTGGGATTCTTCACCAGCCGCTGCGCCGAGTGGAGCACTTCGTCGAAGTCGCGGCCGGAGGGCTCCTGCGTGGGTCTGCGAACACAGCAGCCAGCTCCGCTAAGAAATCGGTGGCTCCCGGTGGGCCAGGGCAAGGACGGCACGGGCCTGAGGCCTGGGGCAGCCCACGAAATGCAGGCGCCTTCGCTTCCAGAGGTGCACTAACGGCTGGACACAGACATGGCGGGCAAGTCACGCATGGAGCCGGCTGGAGCCGGGGTCAGACTAGATGGCCCGGGAGCCCCCTTCTGGCTCACTCTGTTTCTAAAGCTGCCAACAGCTGCACTTCCCGGAAGCTGGTGCCCCGAGCGAGGGCCTCTTTCCAAACAAGCGAGGCTGGGATATCATGGGCACAAGGAAAGCCTCCGGAATTGGGGAGGGGGGGGAGACAGCACAGAAGGCGGTCGGAGGTTGTAGCGGGTTTCAAGCAGCACACCCTCCAACAACACAGGGCGAGCGGGGGTGGGGGCCCTTCCAAAATGAACCTGGACTTTGGTGCCCCCACAATTTATTTTCCGCGCACCTTCTCCTAAACGGGCCCTGGCCTCCCGGATCGTGGCGCTTCCCTCCTCTAGGCCTCCTCTGAGGCAGGTGAGCGCGAGGACTCCGCTTGGGGCGAGCATCCGCCAGGGCTCCCCGGCTCGGCTCCCCGGACCCTGGCCCGCCTTCTCGCCGCCCCGGGCCTGCCCCATGCCGAGCACGTGTGCGGGTGTGCGGCGGGGGCCGCGTCCGAGCAAGGCTGCGCAGCCGGCTTGTGAGCACGCCATCCTCCACCCGCACGCCCGCCGTGCGGGCGCCGTCCCCCTTCCACACTCTCCGCAGGCTTCGTGCACGGAACCGTGCACCATGCAAGGAATGGGCCTCGCACGGTCCTGAGCGTTTGCGGACTGGACCCTGGCCCAGCTCGCTTCCTGGCCAGGCCTGAGCGTGGGAAAGGCATCTGGGAAGCCCAGGGAGCCAGAGGCCGGCCTGGCACCTGCAGCTGGCCCAAATCCTTGCAGAGGCAGCGGGTTGGTGGCTGGGAACGTCTCCCCGGGTCACTTCTTCATCCAGCGACCACCCGAGCCCATCTTCCCCGCCACTGACAGCAGGGAACTGGCTAGCCGACAAGCAGGGGCCTGAGCCCGGGGCACCCGGGAGGCAATTTCGCAAGTGCCTTAGTTATTCATTCAGCTCGTCCAAAGACTCTCCAAAGCGGCTGAGGAACACCGAGGAACCTGCTCAGCCCACATTCGAGGGAACGGCAAGAAGCCGGATGTGAGACCCCCCCACACACACATTCACCGGGCGCCTTCCCCCGCCGGCAAATTCTGGTGCGTGTGCTTTGTGAAGGTGCCAAGATTCTTGACCCCTCACAGAGCGATTATTCCTGGGAGGAACCCCCAGGGAGATGGCAGGGCTCTCAAAGCTGGCTTAAACCAGAGCCAGCCGATAGCCTGGCTCCTCTCTGGGAACACGGACTGGCCTTCTTCGCCACTGCCGGAGGCCCATCCAGCCGGGCACCCAAGCGACTGTTTTCCAGACGCAGGCAGCCTCCGTCACTCTTTCCTCCCACTCGCTCGTCCACGGCAATCTCTCCTGCCAGAAAATGCTCTGGCCCACGGCCAACACTCCACGAGCTCTCCAGCCACTTGTCCCCTAACCTGTACTTATGACACCCATTCCTATGCCCCAAGTGCAAGACCTTGCACTTATCCACTTTGAACGCCATCCTGTTGCCTCCTGCCCACTTCCATAGTCTGTCCAGATCCTTTTGGATCTGGATTACCTGCTCCCCAGTTGTGGCCACTGCCCCCGTTTTAGTGTTGTCTGCGAATCTGACCAGCAGACTGGTCCCTGCTCCTCCAGGTCACTGATGAAAATATTGCACCTCCTGTGCCCCAAACTTCCACAAATCTGTGCATGGATCCACCGCCTATGTAGATCCCACAATTCTGCCAATGCCTCTGACTTCACTGTTTGCTGGTTTTCATAAACCGCCAGGAGAAGGCGTAAAGATACTTCAGATTAATCGGTGGTGTGGGCTCGCAGAGCGCGGGGCTGAGACCCAGGCGATCTGAGTTGGTCCACCGCCATCGGCTGGGGGAGATCCCCCCCCATGGGTCTTGTGTTCCCTACACACTCTGGCTTAGACCTGCCCAATGCGCTTCCACACTGCCGCATGAATCGAAGAGTGGAAAGCCTCCCCTTTACCCCTCTGTCGGGGAGCAGAAAAGTGAACGTGTGCGAGCGACTCAGCTGTGAACGTGCCCTGTGAACGCACCGCACGCAAACGGCACTCCGGCACGCTTCCTTTTCGGGAGCCGCCGGTTTCCTTTTGCTTCAGCACGGGAGGAAGCCGGAGCTGGGCGCAGAAAGAATGAAGCTCCGTTCGTGACCTGCGAGGCACGAGTCTCGGTGCTGTGAGGTCCCAGGGCCCGTAGCCCGGGCACGCATGAATTCTGACCTCCAGCCCGCCGTCCTCGTGGGAAACGGAAAGACGCCCTGGGCGGGCCGCCAGGCTCCGCAGAGCACCTGCGCGATGTGGCATTCGGGTACCTGGCAGGAGGGAGGCCCTGCTGTTCGTCCCAAGGCTTGGTCTGCAGCTTCGCGATGAAATGCTCCAGGCTGGATTTTTCAAGGAGTTTGTTATCTACGAGAAAGGAAAAAGAGGAGAAACTAGGAGAAGGAAGCAGGAAAACTCTTCTGCAAATATACTGCTGACTAGGACGTGTGTTGTGCGTGTGTATTTTCCCCCGATTTTTTCTTCTGCCAAAAATGTTTATTTTTTAAATTTATTTAAAACTTTTCTATAGACATCTCAGGTCGGTTTACAACATGCTGCACTTTTAGAAAGTCATTGCTTAAGTAATTAACTAGTAGCCTGCTAAAGACAACGCAGGTCACACTGGATAACCAGAAAGGATGCAACGGCAGTCAAATCTAAAATCAAAGCTGCAATCCGTGCATTTTGAGGGAACTTTCACCTTAGAAAGGATATTTATGATACAACTCTTCAGATGAGCTAAAACCAGGACATTTCAAGTTTTCTGTAACTGTATACCCTCCTATAAGCTCAGAAGAATGTGATGGGGGCATATGCTATCCTACCCCACCCAATATTTTGCTTCCGCTGCTTTTCTGGAACAATGTCCATTAGTGCTTTTCAAAATCAACCTGCCAGGCAGAGCACGCCCAACCCCAGTGCCAATTCACAAGAGCAGGAGGCAGGCCCTGCTGGATCAGAACCAAGGTCCATCCATCCAGCTCTCAGCACACATGGTGGCAGGCCGGCTGCCCACGGGATCCCCTGCAGGACAGGTGCAAGGCCTCCCCCTGCCCAGCTCCTCAGCAACCGGTGCGTGCAGGCAGGCCCCCTCTGGGGAAGGAGGGGGCACATGGCCAGCCGGGCCGGTAGCCACGGACAGCCTTCTTCCCCAGGAGTCTGCTCAGTCCGCTTGGAAAGCATCCAGAGGGGCGGCCATCCCCACTTCCCCTGGCAGCAAATTCCAAATTAACTGTGAAGGACTTCTTTTTATCTGTCCCGCACCTGCCACCAACCCACTTCACGGGATGCCCCAGGTTCAAGAGTTTCTCCACACTGTGCATTACTGCAAACACCTCCGTCCTGTGTCGTCCCCCCCCCCCC